GAAATGAAAGCTTTAAGAGGCAAGTTGGAATACCGTCGAGGCCATCAGCCTAGCCCACAGGAATATCATTCACAAGTTTGCGCAGTCCATCAATAGTCAGTAATTCGAGCTCGAAGGTGCTATCACAGGGTTCTACAAAATCACGAAAACTGACTCGAGGGGATTTATGTTCGCCGCTAAATTAGGGCCAATATCGACAAATGATGGTCAGTTATCACCGTGTCACCAATAATCAATTTTGACACCGGAGAAAAGTTTTCCTTTCGCGATAATAATGTATTAATTCCATTCCAAGTATATAAAAATTACTTAAATTAATTCGTATAAATTCAACCTCGAATATCTCAGGGAGACAAAAGAATCCTATGTATTTTACGCATGTTAAACCACAAACTACCCAGGCTCAATATGACCGTTAAACAGTTTGAATCTTATAAGAGAATGTATGGGAATAAAGAAAATATCCTAAACAATAGAACTTGAACGACACAAATATGCAGTCTCTATTTCGAACCTGTTTAAAATATACCGTTTACAGCATGTTTTTGTTTTACTCCCATATACATTCTGTAAATCCTGACTCTAAAATCCTACTTATCATACAGAGTCTTGGTTGCCTGTGGTTAAATAAGTCAGCGAGCAGTTATTTATTTATTATTCCTATATCCACGGCAATTGCAAAGAGCGAAATTGAATTGTAACTATTAAGAACCGGGCCCTGGCTCAACGGAACTATCGGACTCCATCAGGAAGAAGAATCGATCGGTCGAAGTATTAAGCTTCTTCCTTTTTGTCACTCTGGGAAATCAGAACTATGAATGAAGGTTTTACCCACGTGCACGGGTACTGTTGCCATGGCCACTTTTCCTTAATTTACTGATCAAGCCAACAGTAACGTGGGAAAATTCGATTTACCAGGATGGCAAATTCTTTCGTGCAACCGCGTCAACACTGAGCACGAATAATGAATGGCAACTCTCGATTAGGAAGTAAGGGCCTCTTCATATGAGCCCGGTTAACCGGGCTGGCCATTTTTCCGAGATCTCGCCTCACCTCCAAATCCTTTGTAAAATTTTCGATGTGTTCATATGAGAGGGCGAGCTGGCTCGGTTCCCGAGATCTCGGTAAGCGGGCTTGAAATTTTGCCAAATGAACACTTCATCATGGTTACCCGGATGAACGGCGGGATGAATTCTGGCGGTCCGGATGGCATCGTCTTGTATTGCCTGCTGTATTTTCCACATCATAAGCATCCCATTTAGCTTTAAGTGTTACCGATGCTAAGATAGGCCCGAAAGTTAAAATTTTGTGTTTCGCCATGTTTGCTTTGTTTCCCGAATTTGGCGCCAGAACTCGTCCCCAGGATCTTTGACCTTTTCTCATTTCGGAAATCGGGCTGACATTTCTCATATGAACCCAAGGCAAAATTCATCAGGTAACCGAGGCAGCCCGGTCAACTGGGCTCATATGAAGAGGCCCTAATGCACTTATCAATTGAAACCCCCACCCCGGGCCTATGTGGGGCAATGTGGGGGATTTTTATGGTATTTGAAGGCATGGTTAGCCCGTGGGGGTGCGGGATTTCTCAGGATTTGCTTAGCATATTCATGGACGTCGGGTAGCGAGGTGGGGATTTGACTCGTGCCTAGTTTCCTCACGGCAATTTCTTCACGTGATCACTGGTATTTTGATGTGTACATGCTTTGGAGTTATCTAGCTTGCTGGCTTTGAAAGGTAAGTTTCCTAATTGTTTTTCCTTTCATTTCTTTACTCAGATTAATCCTTTGCGATTTTGCCTTGGGCTTTCATGGTTCGTTGACTGGAAATTGTTATTGTTATTCAAAACTTCTTCAAACAATGCAGATACATGCTCCTCTACTTATTATAAAAGGTGCTGCGTCACGGCTATTTGGTTCATTTTGTTAATATTGCCAGTTACGTGGTCCCTATTCGCTTTTGAGTGTTACGTTGGCAAAGAAATGAAGAAATCAAAGCTTCGTTTCAAACAGATGTTTCTCCCAAGCATATCAAGCGTTAAGAACAAAAACAATGAACTTTGAAAAACTGTTAGGTTAACAAGTTTTCAAAAACCACAATTTCAATCCGTTTTAATCTTCTTCATGTTTTCCCATCTGTACCTTCTTTTGTATTTACTGAGTCATTTATACCATCTTTTAATGTCTTAAGCGGTTATTTTTATGTTTCACTCAATTTGGTGGCAGTTCCCACAGCCTACATTTTGGTAAATTTTATGACACAGCTCGTTTAATGTCTAGTGTTAAACCCATGTGGTTTCTGAAGTTCTATATTTCCTCATTCTTTAAGTCGAAATATAAAATATAGCTCCTTGGAACTATTTTATGCAGTCTATTTATAACACCAGCTTGTGAAAGTTAAGGTATGTTGGCTGCTATTTTCAATTAAACTTATCATTGCAGCAATTACTTTCAATGGAGATGGTACAGATTTCCTTTTAATATAAATTATTTGTTCTACTCCATCATCCATTATATTTTGTACCCTGACTTTTTTATAAGTGGGTAGGAGTCATTATGTTTACTTATTGTCAAATATTTGTTGTGTGAATCTGTGTAACAGTTGAATTTTCTGATTACATTTAATCACAGTATCTGATCATGATAACATTTAATATTATATGAGTTTGGAAATTCCAGAGAGGTGGGGGTCATATCTGAAACCCTGTCCTTGGAAAGGGGTTATGGATATTTCAAGAATCATATAAAATATATCAATAAAAATGGTTAATTCATCATGAACGTTTTTGGTTAATCTTAATCTGCACTTCTGTGTCTAAACCCAGTAAGCTTACAAGGGCTGTTTTAACTCACTCTACAGATGGCAGATTCTGAGGCATCCAAAGTTTGTCTAGTTTCATTTGGTGCAAGTAATAGAAAGATTTCATGGAACATAAGTTTACCTGATGCAACTTTGTCAGATTATGACAATATAAAAATAGAATTCAAGAAAGTGTTTGATGACTTGGTTACAGCTGAGGAAAACGTGGTTTTCCAAAAGTGGGATAAGGATTTCGAGGAATGGGTAGACATTGATCCACTGGATTCAATTAAAAATAAATCTAAGCTGAGGGCTGTTTGTGTTAGAAATGAACAGAGGTCATCAGGTAAATCTGAGGAGAGTGAAGTGAAGCATACAATTAAGGAGACAGGTCAAGCAACTTTGCCTTTTTCAAAACAGCGCACAATTGGACAAAATGGCAAACTTGGCCCATGTGTTCCAATCAAGTCAGCTGAGGAGGAAGCAAAGAGCCACAATGTTACTGTAATTCCGGTTAATGTTGAGAGATTTAGAGAGGAAACTAAATTGTTTCGGAAAAATTCTACAAGTGACGATGGTCTGACTGAATGGCAAAAGAAAATGAATGAAGCTGCTTTTGCTCTTTGTATGGGAACCCCATCACTCACTTTGAATAGGGGTAAGCTTCTGGAAAAAGCCAGAGAAAAAGTTGATAACGATTGATTCAACTACAAAAAAGGCAAGTCTCGTTTCAAAAAGTTCGGAGCGGTATCCACAGGAGACAGCAAAGTAAAACGGGCAAAACTTGATTCAGATGAGCGAAGAATTCTAATAGAAGAAACAAAAGAATCAATCAAAGAACAAAGCAAAAAGCTTGCAATGCTGGAAAGAGAGAAGTGTAAATTAGTCAATATGAACCAATTTGGAGCAGCATCTCATATCCTGGACAGAATTAGCTCTGCAAGAAAGGAGAAAGGACAACTTGTGAAAAAGCTTGCAGCCTTGGAACAAAAAGAATCAAAGGCAATAAAAAGAAAACTCGCACTACAGGGAGAAACAGGAAAGAAAACTGCAAAAACAGCAGATGAAGAACACGCTGTGAAAAAGAACGACAACTCCATAGTAAAATATCTCAATCCTAAAGAAACCCAGGAAAAGAGTGAAAATGCTATGGGAGAGGAAACTGAAAAACAGAATGAAACAACTGTGCAAGAGGAGAAAGAGAAGAAAGACCATTTTTTGTAACAAACGCGGCACTGACTACAGAAACACAACAGAGTGGAAATGGCATGGAAACATATAGCAAGTACTTAAAATATACAACATCAGGAGGGTTGGGAAACAAGGAACTGTACAAAATTTCAAATGGCCTTTATGTTTCACAGCTACGAGAATTATCAGTAGCAGATTACATAATATGCAAAGAGCAGAACTGTAACAAATTACATAATGTGAATGGAGGCGTATCTGTATGCAGTAAGTGTTGTGGTCTTGTCAGTGTCGCAAAGGAAATTCAAGAAAAAGGAATGGTCAAAGTTAGTGAGACATTCAAGAAGTATTTCAGTGGAAATACGTACTCAAGTGAAAAGGCAGTTCGAAAGTTTATGAGCCTTCCAGTCGTTATTTTTGAGTTAGGTGACGCCAGTAAAGGAACACAAACACTGTACATGATAGAACGACATCCTGGAGTTGATTACATTAAATACGTTGAGTTACTCAGGTCTGCTAGTGGTTCTATAGACACTAGCTGTTCTTCAAATAGCATCAACAAAGAGAAACTTAAGGCCTTGTGTGAATTGGCATCTTCCGAAAAAGATAGAAAACTTATAAAATACGCTATGTGTGGAGATTTATCGAACAAAAAAGCCAAGAAGTATGGACTTTCTGACTGGAACAGGCAAAAGGATGAAATAGAAAGTTCTCTAGAAAGGAGTAAAGAAATAAGGGAAGCAGTAAATGAGCTAGCTTGCTTAGAAGAAAAGACTGTTCTCAGAAGTTATGGCATTGAAATTGAAAGTGACAATGAGAGCCTTATCTCCAGAGAATCTGGAGAATCCTGTGATTGGGACAGTGAGAAAGAAAGCGATTCAGAGGAAGAATCAGAGGGTGGTCAAACTAACAGTGAAAGAGAAATGGCAGACTGCCGATTAGACAGACATTCTGAAGAGTACAACCTTGATCCTGACAGAGTACAAAAGGAAAGTACACCACTTGTTTCTGATGTGCCATCATTTGATCATTTAGTGTTCATTTTGCGACAAAATAATCTGAATTGGTTTTCGTTTGTTGAAGAAATAAACTCAACTATTCGCGGCCTCTCTGCTGAGGCAATGAACCAGGTCTTGATTGACTTTGCCCACTACTTGCCTGTAAGTGACTTGAGCGACGATGAAGAGAGAAAAGTGGAACATTCACGACAGTCATTTCTGCTATACTACAGAGAGAAAAGATAGAGGAGCGTGAGATTGATATGCTTGAGGGAAATGTGTGCTCTGATTCAGAATCAGACAATCCAGATGAGTGGATAGATGTTGATTTAAGAACTGAGGCTGCCGGGGAAAAAGTTGATCCGGAAAGAAAGAAGAAGGATCAGGCAAAAAGCAAAGCGGCAAGCTGCCAAGCGTGTTGCAGAGGAATGCCTTCTGAGACGAAAAATTCCTAAGCGTGTAGGACGTGTTCTTAGAGATCAGACTTCCCTGACATTGGAAAAGAAATTGAAAATTTTGTTCAATCTAAAAGAGTAGGTGCTGACGCTTGGCGACGAACAGGGATTTTGACTTTTGATGGAAACGTGAAACAGGGCCAGAAGGTAACGTACAAAAGAATAAAACAGCATCTAGAAGAGAAATACAACACTACCTTTAGTTATGGTACGATTGTGCAGCTATCTGTTGTGAAGAACAAGAGAAGATTAAGTGCAAAGCGGTATAAAGGTGTTGCTCGCATAACCTGTGGAAGAGCAAGGAAAGGTTTCTCCCTGCGATTTAATCCCGATGCACACTGGAGCTGTTCATTATACAAAGGCCTAGATAAAATCCAACTGCAAGATGGTACTGACAAGTGTGTCCTTAATCGAGATGATGCAGCGGGTTTCCGATTTGATACAACCTACACCCACAAACAGAACAAAGTCCTCTCTATTTCAGCATCACCAAAGGTAACGACCCGCACAGACTTTGTCAACAAGTATTCCTCTATTCTTCAAGTTTCATCCTATTTAATCATGGAAACTGAAAACACATCAGATGTGTGTGCAGCTGTTGTTAAAGGCCAAGCCCTTTTTAGAAAGAATGCAGCACAACACTTGTCTGATCTCACAATGCTGCAACAAACTAATCCATCATTTAAGGAATCTTTGGCAAAAGATATAGAATGTATCAGGGTTGATGGGGCCTCTGATGAGGGGCCAGGGCATGAAGAAGTCCAATTTTATTGGACTGAGAGACATTTGTCAATGAGCAAAGCATGTACGATTGTTACTACAAGGCACAGTGGTGGCAGTTACCTTAACAAAGTCGAACTCCTGAATGGATGTATTTCTGTAGGTCATTCTAATGTTTTCATACCATCAACGCTGAATGGACCATGCTATACAGATGAAGACTCAATTGATGACGAAAAAGTGAAACTAAACCAGGACATTGCAACTGATGTCTACATTGACCGTGTTTCTGGTTCAACGTTCAATGGGAAAGAAATTTATTTCACAAAAGGGGCAAGTGATGTTCAGGCAATTTACAACCAAAGCAGACGCGATCACCTTTTGGTATTCTTGAAAGGAAGTAAGAAGCAAAAAGCAGCGTTAAAGAAAGAACAATCTACATTATATACTTATTTTGAGGAAGTGTGGAAAGTAAGGAATAGCCACATGGTGAAAGGACTACCCAGCCAGTATGTGTTTGTACTTCTACCATGCTACAAACACGACTGCAGTCATGAACTTTGTGGAAAGGGTAAACCAGAAAAAGACAGACTTTGGTATGAGAATGGCCCTCCCCTGAGAAATATTCCATTCCCCATTCCTGACCAGAAACGACCATGGGGCAGTGAAGATTGTACTGAATGTCAGTCTGTTTGTAGTGGGCATTTCCTTTCCCCAGAAGATAATATTCAACATGTGGCAAAACACGGAACAGGAGACTGTCAGTTCTCTCCACCAAGTGAAGTTATCAAGTCCGCGTTCAGTAAAAGAGCAAGGCAGGGCCAGCTGATGGATGAGAACACAATACTAACCTTAGCCAAAACAACTCTCCTTAGCAAGGAAGAAGTCCAGATGTGGGTGGACCACTTGTCCTGCTTGGCAAAGTATAGGCAAGCTGGTGCGGAAAAAGCTGCCAAATCAAGAGCTAAAAAAGGTACATCGTATATTTAAAATCTTTGAAATATCATGATAGCAAGTACTATACTGCAGAAACGAGGGCCACTTTGTCTTCTGAGTATTGTCACTGTTATACTACAAATGTTAATTTTATGTTTCTTTACTTTACAGCACAACAAAAGCTCTACTGCTTCTGCCAAAAAACAGATGATGGAAGTCAAGCCAATTGCGTGTGACAACCCCAGCTGCAAGTTTGAGTGGTTTCACTTTCAATGTGTTGGCCTTCAAGAAGAAGAGGACTTCGTTGGGGAGTGGTTCTGCCCATCCTGTACTTTGGCTCCCTTATGCATACTGGTATCCACGATATATCATATTTATATCTTGGTCTGTTATAATATTTGCCTTTTTGCTCTAGTAAATTTGTCAATAAAGAAGTTGAAAATTCGAACGACATGTTAATTAAGTCAGTCAGGGAATTAAAACGGTTTCCCCACCTGGGTGGGGGTTTTACCAGTCAATATGCCCCAGTAGGGTGGGAGTTTGCTAAGATTTGTAATGATGTCAAGTCAAATCCCCACCTTGGCCCGGGGGGGGGGGTCGGGGTTTCAATTGATAAGTGCATAAGTCATACGCAAGTCTCATTTAGTGCAAAAAGGAAAGTCAAAGCTGTATTTTCAATGAACTAAATTATGTCTTCGTTTTTGGCATAGGTTAAAAACCACCTCTTTTAAGTGGACAAGTCACAAAAGCTGACACTGCGGACCCTTACACTTAAAAAAGGAAGGCTCAAGAATGTGGTTCAAGGTGAGGGGAATTTTTTTTTTTTTCTAAATGAAGTAGTCACCTTTGTAAAATTTTTCTGAGGCCTTAATCATTTCTTTTTGTTTAATTTCAAGGGCCCGGAGTTGAAATAAAAAAAAATCGGTTCTATTGTAGTATTATATGGTCTTATGTCTGCCTCGTACCCAGACGTCTCTATCTCGATAAAAATTTGCTTGCAATGGAAGACGGGTCCCTTGCGCTTCGTCACTAGTCACTCGCTTTTCGCGCCCGCCTCTATGTGAAACCAAGCGAAAAACGAAGCGCCTGAGGAGGAGACTGGTCTTATGTAATTATTTCTTCTCTAACCTAAAACAACAATAGACCCTGGTTTCACGTACCATTTTCAGGTCTTGGGAGGCGGGGGAGGGTGACGAGATTTTGATTTTTCCATTTTTGGCCCAAAAATGAAGAGGGAAATGCGCTAGGCATGGAGGAAAGAAGATTTAAGACGATAACTCGCAACATGGTAATGACTAAAACCCAGATGGGAGACTACGCATTTATGTCCCCCAATTGTCTTAAGCTGCAGAAAAAAGGAAAAGGAATTATTTACAGGGGTGGATCCAGGATTTTTTTTAGGAGGAGGTTCACTCGTCTCTTGCTCTACTTCAACACCAATAAACCACATAGCTATTTTTTGCAGAACACCAGTTGTATTAGAAAACCGCAGGTAACCTCGGGGGGGTTTGACCCGCTGCACCCTCCCCCTAGATCCGCCCCTGATTTAGTTAAATTACGTTGTATTAGGATACCGGCTTTACACACACTGCGCTTTTTCAGTCCGATAGGGTTTCGGCTATTTAAAGTGGGCGCTCAATTTTTACACCCCTTTCAATACACTTTACACTTACACAAATTAAATAATTCAACAAAGAAAACCTAAATCAAAAATTAATTGCGCCGATTTTTTTTTTTTTTTCGATTCTCCGTAAGCTTATTTTTCCTTTTCATGATCGGGCCGACAAACGGTTCCTTGTAAATCATCAACCTTTACATTTATACACCTCGATATCTGACAGTAACTTTTACAAATTTTCCTCTGGGGACAGAGCTACGACAACAAATAATTTATTATTTAACATTTTCCCCTACCAATGACCACAATTCTGCAGTCCGCGCGGTACGTGTTGTGCCGTGCATTCACGGCGAAATGTGCGCTAGACTTACAAGTTAAAAACGTTTTTCAAAAAGGGGAACTTTGGCTAGCAAGTTAGGAGCCTGTCGATAGAATAAACAATAACTCTTTTATGTACACATTTAAATTTCGGCGAGGATGAAGATATCCCGCCGGGTGTAGCTAAAGCGTAAACAGACGCATACAACTTCCTTCAAGCGAAATTCCAAGCCAGAAAACCTATAGCCTGCGAAAAATGCCGTTTCTCCTCGCCCTTCGCCGTTGGGGACTTTTCGCGCGAAACGTTCTCAGCGGCGAAGAGCGAGGGGAAACGGCTGTTTCCGCAGGCTACAGAAAGCCAGAAAGCACAACGCAAAATTCTTGACCGACATTAAAAACATAAATAAAATTCTATGACTGAACTTGTACAAAACAAAAGTTTTTTTTTATCAAGAAGGCAGGTATTTCCTTTGGTTTTGTTTCTTTTTTGGCCAGTTTCTCCTCTGGAAATTTAGCGAATACTAGATGAACGTACCTCGAAGCAGAGCTTTGGCTCAAAGCTTTCTTTTTTGTGAGTTCAGAATGACCTCCATTTGTTATATTTCGTACTTTGCGCTTGCGCAGTTTCTTCGGACTAGCTTAGTGTTGCGCTTCACTGCTCGAATTTGCCTTCTAAATACGTGAAACCACGGTGCATTACAGCTCTCCGGTTGGCTTGACTAGCTTAATCACTCTTAATAGATAGAGCGTTACGTCCACTGATCGCAAAAGTCAGGGTTCCATTCACAGTTAAGCCTGAATTTTTTCAGGGTCTTTTCAGTGTCAACAGCTTTGGTTGTTTATTCAATTGCGAGGATCATGTTCACTTTTGCGTCCCCAGTTTCTGATGCACAACTAGACTTTCAGAAATGTCCTCTGTCTGATATCATATGGCGCAGTCTATAAAGCTTATTGTTGTTGTTTTTTTGTTTTTTTGTTTCGGAGGCGGTTTTTATTGGGAAACGCCGAGGTGCAGTTAGCGAGTTAATGAGAACATAATACAGCGGTTTGCGGAATAGGCAGCTGCCGGCCTATATAATATACTTTTTTCTAACAGGATGTCATGACAATAGAACATATGCTCACCAAATATAAAATGTCCAGATTTCAATGGAAAAATTTATTTCCTCTTTCGGCGTTAGTATCATGCAATAGAAAAAGAGTGGGCTATGACATCAACGTTTTGCTTTCAGTTCATTGTTTGAACCGTGTCACATGAAAAGTTACAACGCTTTCAAAAAAATTTACGCTTTAAACACACCTACACACTTTAATAAACATCTTATATACAACAAGCGTTTGTATGACCAGCCCCACCCGACATTTCTAATCGAGTCAGGTGGGATTAAAACTATTATAAAAGCGAAATTACAATTCTATTAAACGATTTATCTAAAACTATTATAAATAAAAGGTAATAGCTTAAAACCAGCGGCCATCTTGCTAGTTCACCACTGTTTACAACTGAATCCGAATATTTCTTCCCGATGTATTTCAGAAATTATGCATGATAACTCACTGATTGAAATAAACAAAAATTTTACGAAAACAGAACTAGAACCATGACAATGATTTTCTGGAAAGCGGAAACAAAATGCATGTCTTCACTCGAACGTAGTTTTTTAGTGATTTTAGCAGAAAAAAGAGGCTAAAAAGAGAAAATGATGCCTCTCACAAATAGGGAGTCACAGGCATCCCAGGATCCCCCTAAATACCGTGCCACAGGAATGCTAACATTTCTCACAGACCTTACAGCTGCAATAGGAGGTCTAAAATCTACCCTAGCTTTAAAGATACAAATATTAACTCAGTTTCTACTCAGTTACATTATCAGTATTTGTAAAAGAAATTAGGAAATAATTTCACGCGCGTGAAAGCCTAGGTCGGTATTGCCTCGAATTGCACTTTGAGATTGTATTGGGGGACAAATTTAGACCGTACCCCAGTTTTCTGTGTAACCTTGTAATGAAAGAAGCAATAGTGTCCCGAAAACAGTCGCATACTACGATTTAGTGACTGTTTGGTCGATATATGTACAACAGGTCAGATTAGGTATATGCAGATCTCCTTCACTTTAGTCACTGCCGCAGTAGCGGAGATAACCTCCAGGATGTGGTGTACTGTGAAGATAGTATACAATGTATTCACTGCAATTCCTCACTTGGATGTGGGTTTGCCACTTACAACATCCTGCAATGTAACTAAAACAGACTTGTCTTGTGACAATACCATCGGCTACGTCAGGATGCGTACCATTTAACCACCCGGGTGCAGCGGTGTTACATTTCTCTGTAGGCGGACATGAAGTAGTCATCATACTACCTGCGTCGCCTTGGAAACGAAACCATCCTGGACCGAGATTAGTGTCACGTTTAGCGGGTTCAACCAGATGAAATGATGGTTTCCTGTCAGCATCGGTCAGAGATGTGAAGTTATAACATTCTAAAAAGAATAATGAGTTTATTGATTAGAAACCTGAAGTCGTAATAAAAGTTAGCCATAAATATTTTTCTAACCACAATTTGCCATGCAGGGATTGTCAATATACATGTGTTATTGACCAATTTCTTTTTTGCGTTTTTGTGAACCGAGACAAATTCGAGGTCAATAACAACGCAAAAGAGAACGAGATTAATATCCAGCCATCTTGACCGAACAAGTTTGGTCAGTAAGAGAATTTTTTCTTGCGGAACGAACGCAGGAAATCCGTTTGGCTCATCTTGCCTGCTCGGGTAGCCGATCAGAACACAGAATTCGCTTCATTTTTCCCGCTTGCGGATTCAGCCAAATAATATTGCTTGTTAGAATTTTTTTGCCTTGTCTTGGTCTTGTTTCGTGGCTGATGGACCCAGTATTTCAGCCTTTTTTATGCCCATCCCGGAGAGCTGTAAAGTAAAGTATATCGAGTAAAAAATTGAAGTCTATGGTTGATTAATTACTTTTGCTATTGTACAAAATATTGCTGTAACTGCCTTAATGATACGTACTTTTAACATAGCTAAAAAACTTTTTAAAGCCGATTTTACCTGGTGCCTTTGTGCAAAGGGTTTTTCCATCTCCTATGTATCCATGGTTACAAGAACAATTAAACGAACCCAATGTATTTACACAGGAAGCCACACTAGGAAGGCAATCATGGACTCCATCTTGACATTCATCGATATCTGCCGTGTGTAAGAAAATGATTTTTCACAGTTTGATCTGAATCTCATTGTCAGTGTCGTGATCTTGCATAGGGTTTGCATACAGAACGCTTCAAGAGAAGCTAAAATCAAATTCAGCAGAGGAAAACAGGAAATTAAATAATACAATTCTTTAAAGTATGTATGTCACCGTACAAAAAATTATTCATCTGTATCATAATCTAGTCATTTACTGTAGAAGGAAACTTTGGGAAACTGCTCACATCAGTCCCTCGCTCCTGGATCACGGTTCACAGGGAACCCAATGACAAAGGAATAGTGTATTTATCGATGAGTCATATTCATTCTACGCGTAAGTTAAAACCTTGCATAAAAGATTGTCCCTTTTAATAAAGCTTCATTTTATTTCATAGTGTTTTATTTCCTGGTAAACCGCCGTGATGAAATCCTAGTAAACAGAGCTCGCCCAAACACTCCCAACAACATCAATAAGACTCGATTCGCAAAGGCGCTTGAAACATAAATGACATAATACCACTACTAACACCATTTGTCGTCATTGTTTATTCATCCATCAATTATTTATTGACGCAACACCAAGAAAAAGGAGTCGGGGTTCGATTCCCTGGCGATTTTGACGGGCTGGCTCCGTTTGTCGTATATCAAATCTAACACTAACTAACAGTTTTTCCTTATTAACACCTCAGTCTGTTTCTTACAGCATTATCATCGTTCTTCTGCTGCAGTTGTAAGCAAGACTATTGAATTATTGAAAGTAGGCTCGCATTTACCTTTCTCGCAGTTTTCTCCGGTGTAGCCAGATGCGCAAACACATCCGTACCTTTTGTCGGTGTATTTAAAATAGCACTTTCCGTTGTTAAGACAAGGATGGGTGTCGCAGATATTCTGAGTGAAAAAAAAAGCAAACTATACTCCCTTTCCTCACATTCACATGCACAGTTTTCTTAGACGATAAATGTTTTTACATCCAGTATGTAGTGCAGTACATTTTGTTTGTTAGGACTTGCTGTTTGTTGGTTTTACCGAGACAGGTGATATTGATTTGGCTTATGTTTGTTCAAGCTTAAGGTGGCTCGATAGGGTTTTTCAGGGTCAATACCTCCCAAGTTTGCGTGTAGACTACGTTGCTATTAACAAAGATTTGGAAAAATTATCAGCACAGCTGTATTAGATAAATTTGTTCTGATCAGGGTTTCCATGACTTCGGAGTTGTCATAGCAACGAAATGACGTCATTAGCTATTATACTTGCAGCCTTTTTTCTCGGCACTGGGGATTTTTTTTCCAAAATTGTTCGCAAGAGCTTTTTCCTCCAATATAACTGCCTCGATGTTCGTGAAGTTTGAGCAAAATCCATGAAAGCGTTTTCAAAATATTTTGATATAAAATTTTCAAGGCTAGAAATACAGTGGCTCGAGACCTAGAATTATCGATATATTATGCATTACAGTTATTAAAATCGTTTTACGAAAACATTTACCTACTCTCTAAAAATTGCGCAAAAACATATGTTTTCAGTTTTTTAATTAAAACTTGTTAAGGATGGTGTCTTGTGCAAATCTAGTGGTAGTGAGTTCCACAGTTTAGGGGGCGCAAACTGAAAAAGCATGTCGCAGGTATTATTGTAAGACTTTTTGCCTTTCCCAGTTTTTCTTAGCACCAATGTGCGTTACAAAAAAGACCATAAGAAAATGGTCCAGAGACACTAAACTAAAGCTGCAGTGAAATTTTATAGCAGTAAGTGATTGGCCATGAATAGGGCTAGGATAGAAATGGGATAAAACTTGATCTTTTCTAAGATCTACGGTTACGAAGATGAAGATGAAGTCGGAAAAGTTTGTTTTTTAAATCAGTTCTTTAAACCTCTTAACACTGTTATATAGTATTATCATCTCAAGCGAATATTATGGACATCATCAGTCATGTGTCGCAACAAGAGATGAAAAACCTAGTGGGGTTTGCTCTCCTCGCTATTAAAACAATTTCATGCCATCTTTCTCTCGCTACCCTAAAAGAGAGTACTGAAAGTCGTTGTTGCTTTGTTCTTCCCTCGTCTTTCAGTGACCAAGGCATGTAACTATTATTTTTCAGTTCCCTCTTGCCATCAAAGCAGAGTGGTCGAGTGGCGGTTAGAGCGCTGGAACTGAGACCCGGAGGAGCCGAGTTCAATCTTCTCTCTCTTCTCTGACCGCTAAGCGGATTTGTTCTCGAGTTCATCTCCTTGGATGCGCTTGTAAAAAGCCAACTGGTTTACCTCCGGCCAGTTGGGATCCTTAACCTTGCGGACCTCAATAAAAACTACTCGTTTACTAGTGATTTTGTTACCCTTAAAAAGTCAGTTTTTTTATATATAATTTAGTAAATGGCTAGGGTTAGTGAGTTTCATAAGCGACAAAATTTTACTATCGACCAATTCCTAAATGCTTCTATAAGAGGAACTTTAAAAAGATTGTTTTTATATTAGTGTAAGATAAACGGAGTTTCACTCACCGGAATATGAAAGTGATGAAATTCCTTGCTGGTGATGAATTTTTCCGTGTTGTTATACTTGTCCGATGGCAGTAATTCGCAGAGAAGTTTTCCGTTGACGTCAGGGAAGGTAGCCATGTTGTAGGAGAAACATGAGGGGATGTTTAGACAGGCGAAGGCACATTCGCCTTCATCTTGAATAAGATTCCGTCCAGTACTGGTGATGTTCAGGTAGGAGAACTCGTTCATCATGAAGTTAACATATAAGAATTTACCAATGGATCCCTCGCCGAAAGCTTTTTTAGAGAAAATGGACAAATTGAGACTATAAGAAATATAAGACAAAAATATACCCGACTTAGAACAATGTGAAAAAGAACTCATTTGGAAGGGTTGAAAATATCCCCATTAAGAACAAATAGTTTCTCAGAACTGCAGGGTAACTGTTCATCTTTCTTTGCCTCTTTTTCTTCCTGTGCAATTCTCCTGTTTGTCTGTGTTTAAATAAATAACTTCTTAACTAGTACATTACTTAAGTGCGTTTTATGTGTAACCTTAAACTATGGCAACGGGACACAAAAGGATAAAAAAAATTTCCATTAATATCTAACTAACAACCCTTAATGTGAATGTGAATTTGAGATAGAAAGGCACCACACTGAGGACTACGTCCCGTACTATTAACTTACGAACATTGAGTGGGTTCTTTAACGACGTGGGTCACATAATTTTTATATGAGCAAGACAGGTGGTAACTAAGACGGGGGATATATTTTATCGTCCTTTTCCTAAAAGACTAGAACGTCGAGCCCTTTGCAGATGTCATAACAAAGGCCGCACTTTCTCCTCAGTATTCAGTAAAGACCCTGAGAGTCGGTTATTTAAACAAAGTCTAACTTAGACCAGCGCGGTTTTAAGGCTCTCGGTAGGCCTCCTCCCCCTCCTCCTCCTCCTCCTGCGTTTGTACAGGGTGTTTAATTTAAGTAGGGGTTGTAGATGAATGGTTTTCTAGTCCGGCTAAGCCCTCTTGACGCTGTGAATAGCAAACGATGTCTAGGTGTGCGTTGGCCAAATTTTAAAGGGCCTAAAAGGCAGTTTGTTAAACAACGTCTAAACACTGTTTTAATAACCGGCTCTGAGTGTTTAATTGCCCATGCTTCCAATTCATCAACGTTTGTCCATCAGTAAAAAAATACGTTGTTTGTGTATAGTACCACCTGGGCTGAGCCCTGAGGAGTCTGGCAAATTATCAACTTGTTTAGTTCTGTACACGTTTTCCAAATTTAAGTGTTTGACACGTAGTCAATCGATTGAATTGACCACATGGAAATATTTCTGAGTCTGAACTGGACTATAAAACTAAAAAAAAATAAGGAGTTATTGTCAAAGTATGTATTCGTTTACTAAATTTAGTTAAAATGACACTTATTGTCTGAATCATGAAATGTGGATGAAACAAAGCCTTTACAATTTTCTTGTATGAATAATTGCGAGGCAAATGACTAGACTAACCAGGCCTTACCCCGACCTACGTTTGGTCAATCACCTGAGTACTGTCGATGATTGAACTCTGTAATGAAAAATCCCAAAACGTTTGCTAGAGCGTTACGAAAATTGCGAAAATAACGAAAATAACAAAATTTTGCAGGGCCTTTAACATGCGAATCAGAGGCCAAGGAAGGCCCCCGAAGAAACAGCCAAAATTCCGAAAATTGCGAAAATAACGACAAAAAGATCGAAGGCATATTCTCCCATGTTTCTCCGTCTTTGCAATCAAAATTTACACGGCGTACTTCACTTAGCGTTGCATAACAGCAATGTTGCTTCGAGGATGTGTTATTCAGTGACGTATCCTCACCTTCAGATAAGGGGAAGGGGGGAGGGGGGGTCTCCGCCACTGTTATTATGTACAGAGCAAAGGGAGAAACATTGTGACATATTCGCATAAAGATCTGACGAAAAAACACGAAATTTGTGAATTTTGCAATTTCCGTTAAAATTGTAAAATACGCAGGGCCGCTTTGAAAAGGATAAAAATTTGGTTGAATTGTCCTAAAGCCATGACCAAAAATCGTGAATATTGTAAGTTTTGTAGTTTTCGCAAGGCCATCACGAAAAATCGTTCATTTTGTAAATTTCGTTGAAGAGTTCAGTCCTGCCGACATAAGAGAATTACCTTGAATAATTGGGAAATTTAAAATTGGCGGGGCTTTACTTTTTTAAGGTATTTAGTGCTGTTTGTAAAGAGTAGGGTACGTAGTCCGAGTATGTGGGGATCTTTCTCGAATTCGCACTGGATTCAATTTAGGGGCATTCATTGCTCATTACTTCACAATTGGAAACTGCGCTTGAGCAGTGTGGCAGAAGTCCCACTAACAGATACTGCAAATTATCGGTGATTATGCCAAAAAAACAACAATGGCGGACTTCCGTTATAAATCGTTAAAATCATGAAAAATCGATAATATCGATTTGACACAGCAATTTGGTTCGTCGATTTTCACCGATTTCCGTTATCAATCGATAAAAATCACTTGATTAATTGCTACCGACTTTTATCGATTGACTACTCCGTGACACGTACATCAAAAGAAAAATCTCACTTTCTCTAACATTTCAAATCCATTGTTCATCACCCTATGCCGGCACAAGCCTTGTGTTACAAAAAGGCGAGCAACGACTGCTGGAAAAACGCGAAACACAACAGATTTCCACGCCAATTCGAATGCGCTCGAGGATATTTCTGACCCGCCATGCTGTGACGTCACGCTATTGTTTCGCACATTTCCAAAAGTGGAAAAGCTCTAGACGATTTAGGCAAGCCTAAAGGCAAAGCTTCCGTTTCAATAATCATGAATACCGAATAACGTTCGATCACAATGGTAGGCTTGGAAAATAATTCTTGCCCAAATTACATTTACACCTCTTTTGCGAATTATTGGTTAGCCCCTAAAAAGCTGCTTTTGATATTCACGATACCCTTCGGAGGCGGCCCTTTTAAAGGTTACGATTTCTAGGGTCGATGTACAGCCCCCGAAATGATCCCAATTTCTCTTCACGTCGACCCCCAAATGATCCCCAATTAATTCTTGGATTGAAATGGTATCCTAGATTGGGATTGAGCAAAATGCACAACATTAATTAAAGTTTCACTTGTCTAATAATCTTCACTTGCCCACATTCTTTAATGACATAAATTTGGGATTACACTTTGAACTGGATTAAACAAAATATTATTTATTTACAAAGTCTAGTGTATTTTTAGTAATACCAGTGCGACTGATAACATCTAGAAACATAACATTCTTTTATTATAATTCATCGATTATAGTCCGGGTTATAGGAAATTATAGAGAAAACTGCATGTTATATTGTAAAAACCATACTAAAACTGTATGTCATGGATAATGAATTTTAAAAATGGTGTCTTAATGATGTTGAAGATGCAAAAGTAGTCATAAAGGCGATTAGATGACAAAAGCGCTAAAAACTACGTCTAAACTGTAGTGAAATGCGATTCAAGAACGTAAACGCTGCAACGGACTTGTAATAATTCCCTGGCGGAGTACCATTCCATTCCAAGAATTAATTGGGGATCATTTCGGGATCGGCGTGAAGAGAAATGGAAATCATTTCAAAGTCGGTATCATTTCGGGGTCGAGTGGAAATCATTTAAGGGTTGGGGATCATTTCGGGAGCTGTACATCGATCTTTCTGTCTACACAGAAAACCTAAATCAAAAATTAATTGCGCCTATTTTTTACTTTTTTTGGATTCTCCGTAAGCTTAAGTTTCCTTTCCATAATCGGGCCGACGACCTGTTACGTGTAAATCATCAGCCTTTACGATATCTGACAGTAGCCTTTACAAATTTTCCTCTGAAGACAGAGCTAGGACGGCAAATAATTTATTATTTAACATTTTTCCCTACCAATGACCATAATTCTGCAGTCTGCGCGGTACGTATTGTACACTGCATTCACGACGAAATGTGCGCTAGACTTACACTACAAGTTAGATACGTTACAACAACTAAAAACATTTTCCACAAAGGGGAACTTTGGCTAGCAAATTAAAGTCAAGAGTCTGTCGGTAGAATAAACCACACAACTTTCATATACAGATTTAAATTTCGGATGAACATATCCCGACAGATGTAGCGAAAGCGTAAACAGACGTATACAACTTCATTCAAGCGAAATTCCAAGCCAAAAAGCCAGAAGGCACAACGCAAAATTCTTTACCGACATTAAAAACATAAATAAAATTCTATGAAACTTGTACAAAACTACAGGGGCAGGTATTTTCTTTGCTCTTGTTTCTTTTTTGGCCAGTTTCTCGTTTGTAAATATGGCGAATACTAGATGAACGTACCTCCAAGCAGAGCTTTCGCTCAAAGCCTGCATTTGTTATATCTCGTACTTTGCACTTGCGCAGTTCGTTCGGGCAAGCTTAGTGTTGCGTTTCGCCTTCTAAATACTAGGCAGCGTGGCTGGCGTTTGAAAGGGGAGGGAAAGGGGGATGCTTCCTTGCGCGCCCCTCGCGTCTCTCTCGCGCATAAAACTCCTTTTCCCTCCCCTTTCAAATGCCTACAACGCAGGCTACCTAAATACGTGAAACCATGGGGTATTACAGTTCTCCGGTTGGCTTGATTGGCTCAATGGATAGAGCGTTACGTCCACTCATCGCAAAGGTAAGGGTTCGATTCCGAGTTAAGCCTAAATTTTTTCATGGTCTTTTGTGAACAGCTTCGGTTGTTTATTCAACTGCTAGGATCATGTTCACTCAAGAGCACAACTAGACTTTCAGAGATGTCCTCCGTCTAATATCAAATGGCACAGCCTATTAAGCTTGGTTCACAAGTTTAGGAACTGGTTTTCATAGTTTATAGGTTTTATACTTTTCTTTTTTTCTCTTTTAACCTAAATTAAATTAAAGGGCAAGTAATTAGTTTAACTATATCCTGCCCTCTCCATTTATTCTTGTAACCTGATATTTAATTATACAAATTGCATCTTCATCTTCAAATCTTCTAATACAATATAAATGGCTTGTAAAATAAATAAATGGCGGAAAAAATAAACAAAGAAACAAAAACTGGTAAGATCGACTAGTGGCAAGTCTAACGCTCAACCTCAGAATGGTGACTTACGTAACCAATAACCTAGTTATGACAGGCGTTTTTTAGCGTCATGCGCTCGAGTTGTCTCCGTTTAAAATTTGACCAAATAGCCCCATGTTCAGGCCATGAACCAATAAAGAGATGAAAGTGAAGACAAAGACGAAGAATTATATAGCCG